AGTAGTAGTAGTAGTAGTAGTAGTAGTAGTAGTAGTAGTAGTACACAGTACTACAGTACATAGTAGTAGCACAGTTAACTAGTTCTGAAATAAAATGCAGAAAACGAAATGAACAGGATAAAGAATGTTCTTATACCAAGTATCTGGGGGAGAGGAGGAATTTGAAGTAGTGCTGCCTGTAGATACTTTTGGATTCTATCAATATATTTATTAGAGGGAGGCTGTGCTTTTTAGTTGTGTTAGACCACTTTAAATTCTGCAGTGCGTACATCTTTTTATTTCAGGAGTAAGCACCTGGGGCTATATACATGCCTCCATGCCTTTGTTCAGTCTCGGAATTCCTCTGAAGCTTATTTAATTCAATAGCAACATTTCAAAGCAAATTGCTGTTTAAGGAAAACGTAACTTTTAAAAATGTATTAAGTTTAGTGAGTCAGTCTTTTGTGGGAAGGATCTTTTTTCCCTATGAGTTTTAATTTTAATAATTTAGGAGCCCTTTCATTTTCCTGAGTGAAATCCTGGGTGTTCCCCTTCCAGAATCCTGCACTGGTTTGAAGTTCATCATTGGTGTCCAGTTTTTGTGCTTCTTGGATGTCTAATGTTGATTACATTTAGTTGCAATGTGTGTTTCGGACTTCTCCCAACTCCAGCTTTTGGTTCTGATAGAAAGCACGTTCCAGATTAACACTTCATGCAAAGATAATCTTAAGGTTTTCATTGCATCCACGCTCTTGATCTATGGATGTGCTGTATTGCAAACAGGTGCATTAAGGTGTTTGTGAACATTCTTATTAAGTGCATCAAACATTAATAAGTATACAAAAAGCAGACACTTCCTTTCATTCTGGCCAATTCTTTTAAGTTTTTTTTCTTAAAAACAAACAAACCACACTGATCATTGTTGTGACTTGCTTTGAAAGTCCTTGCTCAGAACAACTAAACAGGACCCCCCCCCCTTTCTTTTCTGTGGAGCAGTGAAGGTTAGTTTGTGTTGTGCAATTGTTGCTAAGAAACACTTGTAAGTTCAAAGAAAAGGGAATCTAGCTATTTCAAACAGCCTCCCAAATGTTCGCTGCTTCAATAAAGTACATACTCAAATGAAATGCTGAAGCTAATCAACTGTTTGGAAAAAATAATGAATTTTTTATTTAAAAAATGACATGGTAATCACAAGGTAAGTAAGCAAAACTAATTTCTTCTTTGTGAACAGGTGCTATTACATTTTCAACAAAACTAAATGATTACAATTTTGTTAATTCTGTTCGGCATGGAATTCAATAGACATTTTTATGTCTTTTTTCTGGTTTACATACGGTATTCCTATGTAAACTGATGTCAGAAGTAATAACGAAAAGTCTGATTATATTTTTTAATTTCCCCCCTCTTTTAAAACCTCATTTTCTTTATGTTTTTTTCCAAGAAAACTTTCTAGAAACAAGACTTCTTAACTGAATTATCCAAAATTATTCTTAGTGAATAAAATTCAGTTCCAGAAGGGCTTGGAAGCTGCAAGGAATTCCACCTAAGTATTAATTTGTACAAAATTAATTAGCATGAATAACAAACCATATAAGATGACAAAAGCCACAAAGGCCAGTGCTGAAAAACAAGCTATGGATTGTGGAACTCCCCCAAAAAAGGAACACCTTGAAAACAGGTTAACTATTCATGATTTTATGAAAATACAGCAACTTTTTCAGGTGAGCAAATTTTCAGGTGAGACTGTTTAAAAAGTTCAATCAATCAGACTAGAGCTGGAAGGGATCTTGGAAGTCTTCTAGTCCAACCTGAAGTTCAAGTTCAAGATCCTCTTGTCTGCTGCTGTGATAGAAAATGCATGTGTGTGTTTAACATAGAACGATGAAATGCATAGCATAACATGAATGAGACGGTTCAGTACAAGTAACTTTGGTCTCTTTTGTAGATTATTTTGCTGCATTTTACACATGCAGGTCTGATACTTCTGACAAAGACCTTTGCGGAAAGTTGTTTTTTTTCATGTGGGAGGAGGAGTTACTCTGCTCTGAAGTAAAATGGGTTGCAATATATGAGTATCATTTTTTTTTAGTTGATGGTCGCCCCGCACGTAACTTTTCAGAAGTGTGCCCCAATAAGTGAAATGTGACATTTCCAGGAAAGCGATATAGGACTTACACTGTGTAATTAATTAGATGTCAAGAAAAATTGGTTTCCTGAACTGTGCTAGTTGCCACAAGCAGAAATCCAGTCTTATGGTCAAAGTCACCATCAATAAATCAGGGAGGCAGATCAAATCCGACCTCCAGTCAGAGCATTATATACAGAAACTGTCCAACTTACTTGAATCCATGCAATGAATGGAGACCACAGTATCTATGAGTAGTTGTGTTCACTATTGTACAGTTCTTATAGGTAGGATGTTTTTTTAACATTCGGTTGCAATCCCTTTTCCCCAACCTACATTCCGCAAAAGAGATCATAAGTCTTGACCTTCTATCTGGCATCCTTGCATGTATTTGAGTATCTATCAGTACTCAAATAGATATCACCACTATGAGCCATTTCTCTCTCTCTCCAAAGCTCAGATCACTGCTCAGCTCTTCAGTTAATTTATACTAGTATCTAATCCTCCAATTATTTTTTTGTTCTCTGAACTGTGATGATTACTCTGAATTCTTTTATGTGGTTCTTGGTACTCGGCATAATACCTGAGATGGGGGTCTGACTAAAACAGAATACAATTTAATACTTCTCATAATTTAGACGTTATACAAAGTAAAGTATCTCAGATAGACGGCTGTTATGGCCCAGCAGGTGCTGTTGTAGCTGCCACCAGACTCTGACAGCGAGGGGCCCTCTGAGTCGGCTCTGGAGGATGTGGAGGACCCTGGACAGGGTTCCGATTCTGAGCAGGGCACAGAGAGGCTGGTTGGCCACCAGGAGGCAACTGAGCCTTGGACCAGTGGGGAGGAGACAAGGGAAAGTGAGCCGGAGGCCAGTAGTGAGTTGTTCCTGGATGCACGCCATCAAAGAGCTACTAGGCGTTAGGAACAATTAGGCAATTACAGGAAGTGATTGTACTCAGCTGGTGGTCATTGGGCTCTGCTCCAGACTATAAAAAGCTACTTGTGCACACGGCCCTCTTTGCAGAAGTCAACGCAGGATTGAATGTTGGAGGACAGTACTGGGAGCTTGGCAGGCTGGATTGCTGCCAAACCTTATTTGTGTTTATTGCTGCCTGAGTTTGTCTGAGTTGCTGCCAAGGTCCTTATCTGTTTGTTTTGCTTGGCTTTCAGCCACCAAGGTTTAGGTGTCTTGCTATTAAAGGACATTCCAATTAAGCTTGTCGTTACTGGACAGAAGAGGGGGTCAGAACAGACGGCTATCTCCACCTGATCACATCTACTGAAGATAACCTTCCACCTCTCTGAGTTAATTGATTCTACTATCAAACAGTTATTACTATTATGCAGGATTTTCTTTTCTTTTTAAGACAATTCTTTGGAATTATCTTAGAAACAAGGGGATCATGAGTTCTAGTCCCATTTTAGAGATGGAAGCCAGTTGGGTGACCTTGGGCCAGTCGCTTTCTCTCAGCCCTAAGAAGGAGTAATGACAAACCACTCTTGAAAAATTCTTGCCTAGGAAACTGCAGGGACTTGATCAGACAGTCTCTGAGAATCAAACAAAGTTGAAAGGAAGGTGTGGGGGGAATCTTAAATCCATTATTTTATATCCTGAACTCTTGAATAAGAAATAATAGGTCTTGACCTTTTTCTGCATGACATCCTTTGAAGTTATTTGAATTATCTTTGTTGCCTATCTCTGAATTTGTTTCACTCTTTTTTAAAGTTTGGTGGTCAGGACTGGACACAAATTTCAAGTAGGATCTGATGAGAGACTAATAGAGCGGAATGATTATTTTCTATGGTTTAGAATTTATAGTTCTGCTGATGCAGCTTAAAATTACATACTGTGTGCCTTCTCTGCAGCCATATCATACTGTTGGCGATCAATTACTGTGTCAAAATATTTTTTTCAAGTAGTGGTACCATATATTAGTACCAAGGCAATATCCCTCATTCTATAGCTATGGCTTTGATTTATGTTTCCTTTGCCCTTGTCTCTTTTAGATTGTGTTCGATTAGTTCCTATCCATTTATGCAACCTCTCAAGATTATTTTGAACTATTTATCCCACCAATTCCAAATTAGCTGTAAACCTTAAAAGCATCCAGCTGACAACCTGGTTGTCAGGATTCCAAGTAATAGACCCCATAGCAAACAGAACTTCGAGGCATGTGAATTCATCAATTAGCAGGTTTATTTGTTATATTACATTGGCACAGGCTGGTAAAAACCAACTCTGAATGTTCCTGTGGCTTTCACCTAATTAAAAGTAAAAGTTTTTCCCCCTTCCACAATCAATCAATCACATGGTCTAATCACAGTGTCACCCAATTGCCTGATAACTTCACTTTTCCTCACTCCGACTACCTGTGGGAATGTCCTTGGTACCCAGGAGAAAGTATTTTGTTTTTGCTACATGCCTCAACTATCTTTACTTCCCCCCTCCCTATACCTCAACTCCAGAAGCCTCAAAATGGCTTTGGTCAGGTCAGCTTCAGGTTGACAGGCGGCCCCCCTTAACTGAAAAGGACTTCCTGCAAAGAAAAGAAATTGCAAAGAGGTTATTTAAGGTTCAGTCTAACCTCCTCTCCCTCCCCCCCCGGGGGCCCTTTAGGTTTCTGCGGGTACATGTTGTCACGATGTTTTTTTTGTTTTGCCAGCTGTGCTTATATTCTAAGACATACGGTAGACTGATTCTTCTCTGTAAGCCTACTACGCATATCTCTTTTGCCTTCTCCTTTTCTATTTCTGTTTCTGTTTTGCCTGCCACGAGAAGGTAGGCTAGGAACATTACCAGAATGTAGTTATTAGCCAGTAAGTTTGTTTATTATTTATTTTACAATAAAAATGTGTTTTCTTAGAATATACCTCAGGTTTATTGCTCTTAATCATAAGGTATACTCCAAGGAAAAACCACAATTCAACCCCCTCATCAAACACAGGGCTGAATTTCCAACCCTCACACATGTCATGAAACTGTTTGATCAACCTATCTGCCTTCACATCACAGCTCTTGACTCAAGTAGCTTCAGAGAGTAGCTACCCCTTCCATTGCACTAAGTACTGCAATTGCCCCTTACCAATTACTTTTGTGATAACCAATTCGGTACCCCTTTCCAGTTAGAGGATGAACCAATGATGTATAATTGGGCTTGCCATAAACTGGCATGTGTCTTAGACCTCACATTGTTTATGTGCTGTACATAATGTTGCTTATCTCGTCAAAATCAGAGAAAAACATCATGGGTTATTTGACTGATTGATCAAATTTATACAGCCACCCACCTCATCAAATTGACTTTGGGTGGTGCACAACAACAGATAAAAAGAGAGAATATAAGAATACCAAATACACACATAAAAACCCATAGCATTGAATACAAAAACCAAAAATGCAAGCTATATCTGAAGGAAGAATTAAAAATGTCTAGTTATGTATGCTTTTCACTGAAGTTGAGTGTTAACAGAACCTAAAAATGGAAAAATGAAGAAAAATTAAAAGGGAAAGAAAAATCAAAGCCAGTAAGCAAGCAAGTTATGTAGTAACTTGATTGTATTCACATGACACGTTTAACTAGCTCAGACAGCTACTTGTAACTTCCTTTTGTCCATCATGGTAACCTTTGTTTTGTATGCTTGTGACTCTGTGGGCTCTGCAAACCAAGCCCACTTGGTCAGATTGTGGTTCAATGTATCATTGAGAATCTACAATTCCAATATAAAATTATTCAATCTGAATGATATTTTTAACCGCAAAACATATCCTCCCCACCCACCCCGTTTAGCACCTTGAATAAACTCTGCATAAATTTCCAGAAGGCTAGATCTTCTGCAGCAGGCTGAATTTGTTAATTTTAATTGAGGAAGCGCTCAGGTTTTAAGAGTGTGAAGAAGAGCACGGCAGAACCATGAAAGGAGAAAGGAGATACTCATTTGTAATCAAAGTGCACACCGAAACTCGGAACTCAACCACTGAACCTATAAAAATAAATGGCTGCATTTATTTTAAAATGCTGAAAAAGCAGAGAAGGGGAAAGATTTGGAATAAAAATCTGAAATGTGCCCTGGAGCTAATATTATAGCTTACTGCAGAGTGGTAGATGTTTATGGAGAAAGGAGTAGTCATCTCACAATGAAACTGGTCCAAAACTAACATTCTTACAGCTTTTTTTTTTTGCTATCATTCTGTAATGATCCACGAACAAGCCAAGTGCAAATGATGGAAATGATGGGAGCAGAGCTGTGTGTGTTTTCTCTAATGTTTGTTTTATTTATAAGCCCAGGTTCTCTGCTGGATGAAGAGAGAGAGGGGGGGGGATGCTTTTAAGATTCACAGTTAAGTCGAAATTGGTGGGATGAATCTTAATCTTGAGAGTTTGCATAAACTGTTAGATAGATGGTCCTTCAGATATGTTTCTTTTTGTGAAGCAAGTAGACAAGTTAGGTTAGGCAACTATGTGTGAATTAAGAATGGAATAGAGAAGAAAACAACCAAGAAGGAATGGGTTGTTGGGGGATTGAAGGAACTTGACAGATTAACGGAGGGGAGATCAAGGCTGGGAACAAACAGGAGGAGGTTTAGAAACAGACTG